GTCCCAAGAGTTTTCAATGAGAAGGATGAGGTAGAAAGAAACCAGAGAGAGGACAGAATATCACACAAAAGTGGTTGTGCTGGCCCCAGAGGCTGACGCCCCAACCTTAGCCTGCCCCCCACTCCTGGAGTCTTGCCACCACCCTCCTCTGTCGCTCTGCCTCACGGTCTGAATGAACGCTCCTGCCTACGGCCGCCATGGCCTTTGAGCAGTCCCAGCTCGCCCTGGACAACGGTGACATTTTGGTGGCGGGGGAGGCTACTCCTCTGTAAAGAGTGTATCTGTTGGGAATGCAATTTTTGGAAGAAAGACACCATTTAAAAGGAACACTATTCCTTTGACAGCCCTGCAGAACGGGGCAAATGAATGAGAAAACAGCACATTGAGTCCAAGCTGGTCTCAGGCCCTGGGAGGCGCTGAGGTGCAGAAACCACTGTTTTAGGCTGGTTCCCCTACTTGGCCATGACCAGTTCATTCCACCCCTTCAACAGGAGGACACTGGTTGTAACACAGTCAAGAAATGCTTTTCTTGGAATATAGGGAAGGAAGTAAAATGAGGAGTAGGTTTATTGGGAGAAGCGATTCTTTTCAAAGGACTCTTGGGATAACACATTCAGAATGGAAAACTTTTGATGTCCTAAGTTGTAAGTGAGTATGAAGACTGTTTTAATAATGAGCCAACATTTTGTGTAGTACAACTAACCACTTGGCTTAGAGTCTAACAGATATGTATAGGTAGTTATCTACTCAGAAAATACTGTCATAGTCCCTGCCATAGTTGAGGCAAGACCCTGAAGTACTGAGCCAGGGTAAATAAAGGCTACTTCCTATTCAGAACCACTAGGGCTTCTGAACTAGAAATTGCTCCAAACTAGGCAGTGTTTCTTTCTTTTCTTTTTTTTCCTTCTTTTTTAAAGGTTTATTTATTTGAGAGAGAGAGAGAGAGAGAGAGCACGTATGGGCGGGGCAGAGGAAGAAGGAGAAAGAATCTCAAGCAGACTCCACGCGGAGCACAGAGCCCGATGCAGGGCTTGATCTCATGACCCTGAGATCACGACCTGAGCCGAAACCGAGAGTCAGACACTTAACCGACGATGCCACCCAGGCGCCCCCAAACTAGGCAGTTTTTTCAAATAAGAGATATATAAAGGAAGAGACTCCCAGGCTTTTCCAAGAGTTTGGACCTGCATCTTGAGACTGCCCAGGATCAGGCAGGTTCAGGGGAAGAATGTCTGCCAGGCCACCTTTTGTTTGGAGTTTTTCTTGTTATACTGTATACATTTCTGAGGTAACATGATTTCTTTCAGGTCATCCAATTTTGCTTCTCTTAAAACAAGACACTTTTGGGGATATGCAATCAATGTGAAATATTTCAATCCATTTTCTCTTGGCCTTTAGGTAGCTTAACTACTATTAAAGTGGAAAATGCCTGTCATTAAAAAGAGAACAGGCTGTTTTTATAAAAAATTTGCTCATTGTAAAAATAAGAATATGACTCATTATCAAGAATGAGTATATTTTTAAAGGGAGGCTATACTGCTCTAAAACCAAACCAACCCCCTTTTCTTCTGTTTTAGGACGCTTCTGCTTAATGCCACAGGTAACCAGCTTTTTTTCCCCAAAGGGTTAAAAACTTAGAACAAGAGAGATTAAATAGTTGGTTTAGGAAGTTTAGGCATTATACTAACTAGGACTTCTATCAGGAATAAAATCTATTCATCCAAGGGCAGGGTTTCCCCCAAACTCAAACAACAAGATGGTCAGAGGGCAGAACTGGTGAGAGACAGAAAGCAGACACATGCCTGATAGCACAGCCCTCAGGATTTGTTCTTATAATTAATCTGCTGGGCCTAAGTAAGCCCTGTGTACCTCTATTATGTGGCAAGTGTCGTGGGATAAGCATGGCACCAACACTGTTGCTTTTCCAAAGTATAATGAGAAAGAGCTGTGCTCAACAGTACGTGCAAAGGGCCCGTGACCCTAGTAGTCACACTGAGTCATGGAAAGGTACTGATAAGGGAACTTAAGAAATGCTTATTATTAAGTCTGGCAAAAGACAAATAAGAATATAATTACTAACTGTCCCAGAAAAGCAATTCTAGCACTGTAAGGTCTAATTATCGAAACTTGTAATTTAAAATTAAGAGCATATGTTGACTCTACCAGTAAAGTTCTCATGCTAGTAGCAAAACTCAATATTCCATCTTATGATAATTAGTAAAAACTCTTCAGAGATGATAACATTTATGCAAATGAAAAGTGAAATTAAATTCCACGTTGAGAGACTCGGCATTTGCCTGGATCACAAAACTTTGCTCCTGGAGACCAGTAAATATGTTACCATGGTGAGGAAATTATTTTGGTTTACTCCACTTTGAAACTCCTTCATAGGACTTGAGCACCACAGGGAAGAATTACCTCCTCTCAAATCCTCTGAGAAAACACATTTTATTCTTCAAATGACAAATCCCAGAATGAAACTGGACCACTATCTTATATGATATACAAAAATAAATTCAAAATGGAGTAGGGGCTTAAATATAATACTGAAAACCATAAAATACTTAGAAGAAATCATAGGCAGTAAGTTCTTCGACATTTGTCTTAGGAGTATTTGCTTGGACTAGTCTCCTCAGGCTAAGGTAACAAAAGCTAAAACTGAAAAAAGGGGGATTACATCAAAGGGAAAAGCTTTTGCACAGCAAAGGAAACCATCAACAAATGAACAGGCAACCTACTGAATGGGAGAAGATATTTGTAAGTCATACATCTGATACGGGGTTATTATCTGAAATATAGAAAGAACTTACGTGACTTAACATAAAAAAACCATTAAAGATGGGCAGAGGACTTGAATAGATACTTTCCCAAAGAAGACCGACAGACGGCCAACAGACACATGAAAAGATGCTCAGCATCACTCATCATCAGGGAAATGCAAATCAAAACCACAATGAGATTGTGACTGACTCCTGTCAGATTGGCTACTATCAAAAAGGCCAAAAATAAGAGTTGGCAAGGATGTAGAGAAAAGGGAAATTTTGTGCACTGTTGATGAGAATGCAATGGTACAGCCACTGTGGAAAACAGGATAGAAAATTAAAACTAGAACTATCTCATGATCTAACAATTCCACTTCTGGATACGTATCCAAAGAAAATGAAAACACCAATTCAAAGATATATATGCATCCCTATGTTCACTGCAGCATGATTTACAATAGCCCAGATATGTGACAATGGACAGCTACGTGTCCACTGATAGATGAACGGATAAATACGATGTGGCACGCGCGCACACACACACACACACACACACACACACACACACACACACAAATGGAGTATCACTCAGCCGTGAAAAAGGAGATCTTGCCATTTGTGACAACATAGATGGACCTAGAGGGTAATATGCTAAGTGAAGTAGGTCAGACAGAGAAAGACAAATACTGTATGTGAAACTAAAAAAACAAGCGAAAAACAAAACAGACTCATAGACAATGGAAACAAACTGTTACCAGAGGGGCATGGGGTTTGGGAACAGGCAAAATAATTAAAGGGGATAAAGAGATACAAACTTCCAGTTATAAAATAAATAAGTCATGGGGATATAATGTACAGATATGGAATATAGTCAATGATATTATAACTCTGTATGGTGGTGGATGGTAACTAGACTTATTGTGGGGATCTTTCGTAATGTGTAAAAATATCGAATCACTATGATGTACACCTGAAATTAAGAAGAATGAAGGGGAGTAAGTCAGAGGGGGAGACGAACCATGAGAGATGATGGACTCTGAAAAACAAACTGAGGTTTCTAGAGGGGAGGAGGGTAGGGGGATGGGTTAGCCTGGTGATGGGTATTAAAGAGGGCACATTCTGCATGGAGCACTGGGTGTTATGAACAAACAATGAATCATGGAACACTACACCAAAACAAATGATGTAATATATGGTGATTAACATAACAATAAATTTAAAAAAATAGGATATGATATGTCAAGTGTACCATAATTAGAAAAAAAGATAAGAGATAAGAAGGTATCTCCAGAGATAAGAAAAATAAGATCCAGTCCACTGGTGAGTTTGGCTAGCTGGGTCTTCCAACTCAGCCTTGGAGCTAGGAGACAAGTTCCCTTCTGAGTCAAAACCTCCTAGGCTCTGGGGGTAAAATCATGACAGTTTCCGCCATCCTTTGTAATTCCAACCCAAACGCTATCAGTGAAAACTGGAGAAATCAGCATCTGGTGAGGACGAATGAAGACTGTGCAGAGTCCAGCTTGCACCCTAAAACCTGGGCTGTGTCTGTGGCCGTGGGAGTTTGGGTATGAACCACAAAACAAGTATGAGCCTTTCTGGTGAGAGATCTAAGAAGTGGAATCTTTCTGACTTCATTTTACATTGAGCCCTTCTGGTGAGAGATCTAAGAAGTGGAATCTTCTGGTGAGAGATCTAAGAAGTGGAATCTTTCTGACTTCATTTTACATTCCAAAGCAGCAAAGAGAATAGAATATCGAGTTTTCTCTTCTGCTGTTGTTGAATCATCCTACATTTTTCAGCTTGGCTATTCAATAGTTGCTTCCAATTGCTCCGAATTTAAGGGGCTAAGCTAAGAAAACATTTTATTGCTTTTAATGTTTTTGGGTTTTTTTGTTTGTTTGTTTTTAAGCTAATAAGATAGATACCCTTTTATACATATTGCCAAGGATGGAAAGCCAGGTTCTTAGGACACCAGTCATTTTCACACTGTATTGACAAGTCTGATGGGGAACAAATGGTGGGCGGGGGGGGAGGTGTTTTAGAGATGTATTTATTTTTCTGTAACACTAGATACCAAGAATGTGAAGACAAAAAAAAGTTTCTCTTATTCATAAGTGATAATACAACTGCTATTATACCCCACTGTTAGGGTTGAATTGTGTCTCCCCACAGCACTCCAAATTCGTATGTTGAAGTCCTAACTCCTAGTACCTCAGAATGAGACCTTCCTTGGAAAGAGTATCATCGCAGGTATCAGGGTTACATTAGGTACGGTCATCCTGGAGTGGAGTGGACCCCTAACCCAGGATGACTGGTGTCCTTATAGAAAAGGGAGACTTGGACACACACAAGTACACAGATGGAACGCCACGTGAAAGAGAAGGCAGAGATCAGGGGGATGCTTCCACAAGCCAAGGAATGCCAGAGACTGCTAGCAAACCGCCAGACACTAGCGGAGAGGCGTGGAGAAGAGTCTCCCTCACAGCCAACAGAAGGAACCCCTGTCAATACCTTGAATTTGGACTTCTGGCCAGCACGACAATGAGACAATTAATTCCTGATGTTTAAGCCACTCCTTTGGTGGTACTTTGTCACGGCAGCCTTAGCAAAATAATATAACCACAGCGAGAGAAATGACCGTTATCAAGACCTCCTTCTTTTTAAAAACAGATTCTTTCACAGTGGAATTATCCCCAAAAGGAAAAGAAAAGTGTGTTCTTACTCTCAGTTCTTGGGGAACAGAATTTGGCTTCTTTATGTTGATCTCAATGCTACTGTTGCCCTGTTTGAGCTCCACTGGGGACCCATGCACTCTGGCCACACCTTCAAACATCTGGGATTTTGTTAAGGAGGAGGCAGGTGCCACCATGGGACATTCTTTCTCCTTCTCCTTCTTGTCACCATGAACTGTTTCTCCATTCATGCTGACCTTCCCATCTACCTATAAGAAACACAAGGAACAAAAACCACATGCTATTTCCCAAAGGAAGACTGTAACGAAATAACACATTTAGAGTCACAGTAAAACATTATCATTTATTAATCACAGTCCAGCAAAAAATAAGGGCTCTTGTATGCTTGCATCAGTTCTAGAAATTAGGACTCCTATAAATGACCTCTCGGAGGGCCTCTTTAAAAGGTCATCAATCTTCTCAGGCCCCTTCACTTTGGATTAAGTTTCATGTTCACCTTACTTGGCATGTGCTCTTATTTTTTAAAGTGTAGACTCAGAAACTAATAATACACTATATGTTAATTCATTTTAAATAAAATAAAATAAATAAAGTGTAGAAAATCAAGGAATTTTAAGTATAACCACATACTTGGGTTGTAGTACTTCTTCATTTAAATTCTGAATGCTATTCCACAATTTTGAGATTTTTTTTTTTTTTCCTGGCTAGCCTGTAAATAAGGTGGAACGTACCTCAGATCAGGAATCTTCTGCAGCTTATCCTGTGGTAAGGGGGCAGTGGGTACATTTTTGCAAGCTAACATGGAGGGCCCCTGGCCTGATGCTATGCTATATCACAATAAATCCTTATTTCCAGTTAATTTTACGATCCCAATTTTTTCAAGAAAAAAGGGTCATACACATTAAAATATTTTTGTTTTGTACCCATGTCTAGGGAAGGTGGTGAAAGAAAGAGAGGAGGAGTAGAAATGGTGGTTAGTTAGTCTGGCTTATTGAACGGCATCTAGAACTCTCTGTCTTAAAGTCTGAGGCAATGTATACAGTGGTTATGGGAGGAAGCTCAGAGAGCCTTGGATTCAGTCCTGGCTCTATCATTTAAAAACCACACAATCTTCAACAAGCGTCTTATCCTCTGGGCTTAGGTTCCCCATCTACCAAGTTTATAATCACTGCATCCCCCTGATAGTGCTGTGGAGGGGATTTTATGGATTAACATAGGTACAGAGTTTAGAACAGTATCTGGCACATTTTACGTATGTAAATATTAGCTACTATTATTATGAGGCTTTCTAAAATCCTTCAAAAGGAATCATGGAAGGCCAGATATTAGTTATATTAACCTTAAGCCAGGCGCTTACAGATTTATTGTCTGTGATCCATAGGAAAGAAACTTAAATCACAACTGAGCACACCCACGTAAATATAGCTGAAATAGGAGTTTTGCAAAACAATATTTACTTTATTATGTGTGATGTGCCAGACTTTTTTTTCCTTGTATTTTACTTTATTTTAAAAAATGCTGATACCAAGCCGCTAAATTTATTTCATAACCCGGCAACAGGTAGCAATTCTCACTTTGAAAAACACTGCCTTAGGGGCGCCTGGGCGGCTCAGTCAGTTAAGCTCTGCCTTCAGTTCAGGTCATGATCCCAGGATCCTGGGATCGAGCCCCACGTCAGGCTTCCTGCTCAGCGGGGAGCCTGCTTCTCCCTCTCCCCACTGCTCGTGCTCTCTCTCACTACCTCTCTCTCTCTCAAATAAATTAATAAAATCTTAAAAAAAAGAGAGAGAGAAAAACACTGCCTTAAACTATTTCATTTGATTTTCCTTTACTCCTAATTCTGTTGTCCTGGGAAACTAAGTCTATATTCTCTGTCTCCCTCACTCCACTGTCGTCTCCATGAGAAAACAAGCAGACACACACACACACACACACACACACACACACACACACACACACCCCTCATAGTTTCTGTCTTGGCATTACCTGGTAACTACTTTTCCACATACTACCTTTGACCATAACGGGGTCCACCCACTCAGTGATTGGTATGTGAATGGGGCTGACAGCCATCAACGCCTGTGATGAGTCAAGGGCTCATTAGTGGTCCGGAGTGAACCCCAGCTCTAAAAAGATCTCTACTCAGGTTCTTCTCTGCACCCCCCTCCATGAATGCTCTTGGTGAGGCCTGTTACACTGTTTTGCCACAACAGTGAGAGACAGGGTTTCCTCAGGGCCAAAGTCTTGCCATCAAGTCATCTGTCATAATTCTTCTGTTTAAATGATCACCTTGCACTATTTATATAAAGGAGGGGAAGTGGACATCTGGATTATCTGATCAGATGCCTCAGATACATACATACAAGTAAACCATATTTCCCTACCCCCGTTGTGGGCCACCTCAACATCAAACCTTCCTTCATGAAACATTACAGACGGTTCTCGGTCATGGGCCCTAGGTGAAGGACAGCTGGTGCCGTACTAGGCGGGATACTGGGCATGTCTGGGCACATACTTACCTATGTGTGAGCCTGCATGATGCGTAGCTCATTTTCTCAGGAAAGATTAATGTATTTATTCAATAAGAACTTACTGAGTGCCTACTATGTGCTGGGCACCTATGCCAGGCTCCCAGGACAAAGCTGTGAACAACAAAGACACAGCCCCAGCCCTTCGAGGGACATACATCTCAACTCAACCCAGATGAGACGTCCAGGACACTCTTCTTTTGTTCTATCAAAGGCTAAGGCACAGACTTTTAAGATCCATTCCGAGTTATTTAAGCAACAGTCAGAAAGTGTATATACAGTTTGGTTCCCTCTGAAATTCAATAGGAAGATACATGACATCACATTGCTCAATTAGTTTAGCCAAGCAAACTTTCTTTATAGTCATGTGCCCATGTCTCCTGCTGATGAATTCCACTCTGTCTTCTATTAAGAACCCATGTGGTGTGCAGGGACAACGAGAACTGAGTTTTCTTTGTAGTCAAAAGAGCTTAAGCCAAAGAATGAGTGCTGCCTCGTGGTGTGAGGGAAAACACTGGAATGTGAGCAAGCAAAAAGATGTTTGGTTGTCATAGGTTCTTTGGTTCTGGAACATTACTTTACATATTCATTGGCAGGAAACAATCTAATTTCTTTCCCTTTTAAAAATATTTTTAAAACTCCCTCTCAACTGAGAATCAAGTACATCCCATGTTCCTATTTTGCAATTGCAGCATCTTTTTGGATATGATGTCAAATTCTTTAAAAAGAAGAGGTGGCTGCATATCCTTCTACCTAAACCAAAGGCAATTACAATTTTGTTTTGAGGAGTTTGCTATACCTCCACAGAGCCAGAGATCCCCAGGGTTTTAACTAAATTAAGGGTTGGTTAGCACTACTGGAGAGAGACCACGCCATTCCATCAAACCGGGAAATAAACCTTGCTCCTTTAACTATTTGCAAACCAAATCCCCTGAGACATAAACTTCACAATCGTAAATGGTTATACATTTCACTTTTGTTTGATAAAAATAATTGCATCTTCGGGCGCCTGGGTGGCTCAGTTGGTTAAGCGACTGCCTTCGGCTCAGGTCATGATCCTGGAGTCCCGGGATCGAGTACCGCATTGGGCTCCCTGCTCGGCGAGGGGCCTGCTTCTCCCTCTGACCCTCCCCGCTCTCATGTGCTCTCTCTCTCTCATTCTCACTCTCTCAAAATAAATAAATAAATCTTTAAAAAAAAAATAATTGCATCTTCTCAGGGCAAGATGCTTTTTTCCACTGATTACCTGGGGTTCAGTTTTGGTTCTCCTCTTAAGGAATGCATCCTACCTTAAAGGTCTTCAGAACCTCTTGAGAGTTCTTGGGCTGGGAGTAAGGCTTGGGTGTCAGCATAGGCACTGCTTTGGGGGTGATGGTTTTGCTTGGAGACCCGCTGCCTGCTGACATGCTGGTATCCAGAACGCTGGTCCGAGCAATGGTGGTCTCCACGGTGGCAGTGAATTTGGGTGGGGGCAGTGATTGTCGCCGCAGGTACTTCATGGGGCTAGGGTCGTTCAGGAAGGGGGTTAAATTTGGCTCTGTGGAATGGCTTCTTTCCAGAATTTTTGGCATCTCCAAGCGTTCAAGAACAGCCTCGCTGATGGTGAACCTCTCGATGTACTGTTGAAGGATCCCCTCCGCCTCTTCCTGGGACCGTGCATTCTTATAGGCCTCATGCAACTCCCTCTCTCTCCGCTCTCTAAAGGATGGGCAGGGGAGGGGAAGCAATCACAGAGTCAGCAGTCACAAAAATCACAAAGAAGACCTCGGGAGAAGCCAAGGCTGAGCTGAAGGGGGGAGGCCAGGGAGTGTGTAATATGGGCGTTAGAGCCTTTGTGATAACCAATGATTTTTAGAAAAAGCACAGCTAGACGCCATGGCACATGTACAAGACAACAACAGAAAGGACTCACTTTTCTTGAACAATTTCTCTGTAGGTTTTGATGCTTTTCCTTCGTTCACTTGTTCTGTCCTCTCCAGCCAGTAACTTCTCCATTTTCTTCCTTTCTTCCTCTTTCTTGATTAAGTCC